AATGAAATTCGTGAACCGAGACGGTGCTCAGCGATGGGTAATTTATGAAATGTTTTAGATATAGTTGACGCATTCTCTGCATTCTCAAACACGACGTTCATTTGGAAATATGAGAACGAAAGCGATTCACATCTGTTCGACAATCGTCCCAACATTTACGCCATGAAGTGGGTACCGCAACTGGACCTTTTAGGTAGGTCGCTCCCTGTCTGCCTTCATTAGGTACCATGCTTTGCTTATTTTGACGCCTTCGTACTCTCCTCATCATTACGGACTGTCGGGGCGTATCAGCCAGTAGGAGTGCGCACACTGTTTGAAGCCGTTCTCAGCCTTTTCGTTGAAACGCGTATGCGACAAAAAGTGGTAGAAAACGAGTAATACGAAGGATATAATGCTGTCATGTCATTTGCTCGCTTCAACAACTGGTGCAGAAAGACTTTGGCACCGCGGAAAACGCAGCCGCACTGACCCGCCCCGACAGTCCGTAATGATGAGGAGAATAGTGAGATCGTCTAATCTAAACGAACTTCTAACATTTAACCCATGAGAGCGTTGGAAAACTCCCTTTGATACGCATACTCAATGAAAAATTGCAGGAGACTCACGGTTATCCGCTTTTATCACCCACGCTGGAATGAACTCCGTTCTCGAGGCGACGTTCTTTGGTAAGCCAATGGTTGTTATTCCATTGTTTGGAGATCAATACCTTAATGCCAAAAACATGGAACGCCGAGGAATGGCAGTACTGATCGACAAGAGTAAACTGAACAAGGACGTCCTGACAGCAGCGATTGCTGAAGTGCTTCCGCGAAATTCGTGAGTAACCTTTCCTCCTTGATCATGGCTGAATATCTGACGTTTGCTCATTCCTTCGAGAGGCGTCACCTGGTCAACGGTACTGGAAATCGTATTTACCCTTTCACGTAGATGTGACGAATCACGGGTATGGTAGACATTTAGAAATAGATGGACCTGTCGCTGGGATCAGTTAAGTGCTATGCAAGGGTCAGGGGAAAGGGTACACCGCAAGAAGGAACAGGGTATCGTGGAGGGATTCTCAACAATTGATATCGTTTTTGAATATAACTGATAATGGGGAAACCGGTCGGGATGGTGTCAGAAGGGGCGAAATAAGCCCGCCTCGGCTGCTTTCACTATGGTGATGTATTAGTGTTCATTTTAAGGCGGTAGGCGCGAAGTGTCTCTTAGGAATCTTGCCCAATAAGCGCTACGGTAGATACAGCTGCATGCACTATGTACTCTTATATCCAAGCAGCACCGCAGCCTTCAAACCATCCTCCGCTTGATATTTTGCTTAGCAAATGAAGCGAAAGCGGTTCGGGTCTGTAAGTTGTGGCTTGATAGAACCTTATAAGGGCACCTCTATTGGAAAAGGCATTATGCAGCGCCTGCTCAGGGTCGCGGAATTCCGTCCTGCCAGGCGTATTAATCCTACTCGTCTTAGGGATTTATCGTGCAACTGCCTTTAACACGTTGACGCCGAGCCATTTTTCTCATGACTTGCGCGTGGGACGGCACATTTGTCTTGGTTGAAACTTAGTAATTTTCGAATAAATGAAGGACTACGATCAAACTGTATCAAGTAATGCAAGAGACGAGTATATGAATCTCGAATCTTTGACACAATTTACTTTTATTGCTCCAATCTTCCAAAATCAGGCTATTTTTAAGAACTTCTCTCCTCTGAAAATTTGGCTGAAAATTTGTCTCCCGGGGTAGTTTCACCTCCTAAAGATTCATATCGCATCCCCTTGGCCCGAAAATCCTCGATTTTTTAGAAAAGAAAATGAAACAACCGCGCAGATTTTGATTATATAATAACTGTCGGACAGCATTGGGTGACGCCGTCCCACAAGACAAATTGGCTGTCGTCCACCACTGACGAAAATAGTCGTCAACGCGTTAAGTGGATATGATATTCTTGTTAAGGGGGTCTAAATAGCCTAGGAGACATGTTTTCAGCGGAATTTGATGACCTAAGACATTTTGTCGGCGCCTGTGGCGCGGGCGCGAGGCATTTTCGTGACAAGCGGTTGTGATATTCGTGTTCACGGGGTCAAGCTGCCCCAGGAGACAAGTTTTCAGCGAATTTGGTGATTTATGGTATTTTGGCGCCGGCGCCAGGTTCGCGCCAAGCGACTGTGGTATTCGTTTCAAAGGGACAAGCTACCCCTAGGGATACGTTTCCAGCAAACTTGGCTGTTCGCACATCTTCATTATTAGAACAATATAGTGGCAGACACCATTGTCTGCCATCGTCCCATGAGACAGACTGGCTGTCAGCCACCATTGTCTGCCATCGTCCTCAACGTGTAGGGAAGAAAGCAACTAGTGGTAAGGACGTTGGACGGGTGGACGTTATCGAGGGGAATTGAATTCAACCTGACTTGACGACTAAACCCGTAGGAATCCGAAAGCGGTAACGTACAAGCCCGCGCTATCATGCCCCTCGTTTGAGGGCAGAAAACAGGGAGATTGCCTTGGGAGGCGGCAGGTGCATCCAAAAGGGTGATCCCTCAGACGAGCTAGGCGTAGTTGCGTACTTCACTGGGACGCGACGACGGCTGCAATCGGGGTGGCCTTTTCTTTGTTTGTACTTTAAATGTTGGACTGCTCTCCATGGCAGTGTCGTTATGTGTCCTCATTAGTGCCAAGGACACTCTCTGACACTGTTTTGGTAGATGCGGTCTTTCCGAAGAAAGAATGAAAGCAAAACTCAAACGGTTGACAGAATTACGGGTAGCGGCAAAAAAAATCGATAAAGTGGCATTTCAGAAAGACCGCATCTACCAAAACAGTGTCAGAGAGTGTCCTTGGCACTGATGAGGACACATAACGGCACTGCCATGGAGAGCAGTCCAACATTCAAAAGCACAACAAAAAAAACTAAAACAAAATCAAAAAGTGGGCAAAAACACCGTTACAACAGTCAAATAGCGACTAAAAGCGAAACATACAATAAAACCTTAAATTAGAGTAAATATTATGAACTCACCTTTCCTTTTTGGCGTCTAGTTAGCAGAATAACAGGCAAAATAGAAAAATAAATTGCTGAAATCAGCTGACCATGCAGCATCGACCGCCACCCCTACTGCAGCCGCCGTCGCGTCCCAGTGAAGTACGCAATTACGCCTAGCCCGTCTGAGGGATCACGACTGTAACGACATGGCGGTGCGATCTTGAAAGCAGTTAGCACGATGATTCGGTGCTCGGCCTAAAATGCTAGTAGGGAGCTATACTTACTCACTCGGATACTTGGAGCTCGTTTTCAGCCGGTTCTCTTCAGCGACGAGCACAAGCTTCCCTCCATTGTTTGCGATCTTGAGCGGTTTGAATCCAGTGTCGGTCTGCAGCTTCTTGGAGTTGCTTCAAGTAGTCTCTCCATCGGGTTGCAGAGTGGCCAGCCTTGCGCTTCGCGCTTCTCGGATACCAGGGTGTGATGCGAGTGGTCCACCGATCGTCTGTACGTCTGACCACATGTCCGGTCCATCTCTTCCTTGCATTCCACGCGTATTTTATGGCATCCGTGGATGCCTGACATTGAGCGCATGTCTGTGCTGCGCAGATTGCGACATCTCTGCTCTCGCCGGTTGATATTCAGCAGGGTCCGTTCCAATGTTCGTTGGCTAGATGTTAAACAATTCAGTGTAGACGCCTTGTTCCCTGCCTACACGTCTCGGATGCGTAACAACGTGCAGGCAGTACTGTAGAGTCGAATAGAGCAGCTCGTATTTTCCTGTCCGAAATGAGCTGGGCCGCCTCTCTTATGCGTCCCATTGCCGTCCATGCGCATTTTTGCGTCTCATAATTTTTTCGCGCAAATTGTTGTCCATGGAAATGAATCGGCCACGGTTAACGTAACGGACGGTATCCGGTAAAGCAGTGCATCTGAGTATGATGGGTGATACATTTGCCCACTCGTTGCTGCATGACTCGTGTTACTGCGGCATTCCCCGTGCGGCCAATAGCTTTGCCGACGTTGTTCAGTTCCTCCACCATCCGCTGTGTTCATGGTGCATTCTTCCAGCAGGTTAATTTAGCACGGGTCGACACCAGCATGGTGCAGCGCATTCCAAAATTAAGAGTCAGTTCCAACACTGTCGAATGCTATAGTCGATGAAGCAGAGGATGAAGGAGGAGCGGCTGCTTGGTATTCCTTGGTTCGCTAATCAACTGCGTGACAGTATGGATTGGTCCATGCAGCAGAAGCCCTAGCGAAATCCGGCCTGTTCTACTGGTTGGTAGCCATACAGTTGTTTCTCGAGCTTGTTGAGGATTACCTTCGTGAACAACTTGTATGGCTGCGAGTGGAGGGCGATTGGGCGGTAGTTTTTCATTTGGTCGCGCTCGCCGCGCAATGAGAAGTCCTTCTATGAGCATGGTATAGTCTTCGAACCAAGTCTTTGCACCTCCTGCACAGTGTACCCGGTGAGCGAGGCGCCTCCATGAGTTGTGTCGTACGTAGCAGCCGTATGGGCGGAGGTCGGAAGAAGTCGCGTCTTCGGATTTTCGCTCGGAGACGCATTTTCGCTCTGACCAGCCTATGGTCGCTCCCAGTGCGGAATGCATCCACCACGCTGACGTCGAGCAGACTCCACTTCCTATTAGTGAGAACGTGGTCGATTTCGCTGTGAGTCGTGGCATTCGGACTCTCCCATGTCCATCTCCGATCCTTTTTTTTCGTGAAGAAGCTATTATTATAGAAAGAGATCGCATCATCGCTCTAAGAGATCCACTCGTTTGTTTCTCTGGTTCCGTGGGGGCCTAAAAGCGCTGTCGCTGGCATTTCCTCATGGATGACTGCGTTAAAGTCACCGACAACATATTTGTAGTAGGACCGTTCCCTTTTTATCATCTCCTCCAATTCTTTGTAGAACGCGTCCTTTGCTTCGTCCCAGCTGCTGAAGTCGGTGCATAGCAGTTGATAATACTAACGAAAGTGCGCTTGTCGATGCGTAGACGTAAATGGTCAGCCGTGGGCCGATCACTTCGACTGAATCGACCATGTGCTCGAGCCGACGGTGGACGAAGAATCCAACACCACCGGCATTTCTTCTGCTCAGTTTGGCTCCGAGAACAATTAGGTGGCCATCGTTGGTCTTCCTGGTAGCTGTTTCTTTTGCTTTTGTTTCCTGGAGAACGATGACATCAAAACGAACTCTTTTACTGGCCTCCACTAATATGGTTTAGTCCGTTATCGAGGCACACTTTGGTGCGACATCGTTACGTGCAGACTCGTAAGACAGCCCCATGCCTCGAAAGCTTTCGTCCTGTGCGACTTCCAAACCATCAACGGCCGTTCTTGTCTGCAGAGTCCTTCAGGTCGCCGGTTTGCCTCCAGTGTACGTAGTGCTCGTGCTCCTTTTCGCCCTGCTCCGAACCTCCCTGTGGTGCTTGTTACATTGTTTGTTAGTACCATCCATCCGCGGCAGCTAACCTTTGAGGTGGTACCCCCACTGTTGACCGGGATATTCTTGTTTCGCCCCCTCGCCACTTCGAGGCCAGTGGTAGGATTTGAGGGGGAGCTATTGTGTGCGTGGAAATGACGGCAAGAAGGGTGAAAGCGGTTCGAAATCACTTGCCGAAGGGAGAGCCTAGGTTTCTCATGTTAGAAATCGATTTTGGACAAGTTTCCTGTAGGCATCTTGCCAATAACTGTCACCGAAGGTACGGCTGCATATGTGTACTCATATATCCATGCAGCATCACGGCCGCTTCATACCAATCCCTTCGCTTCATAATTTGCTTAGCAAATGAATCGATTAGAGCGTCAGGAACGGTCGTCCATTTGTGGGCGGG